CAAATTCAAATTATGCCTTTTAACTAAGGCTGCCAACTCAGACAACAGTGCTCTTTAAAGCACAGAATTAAACACAGGTTGATGTTCTTTTGTGGTTGTGGTGGTGTACCGTGGAATTAGTTCCATCTCATAGCAATCCTGCATAAGGTTTCTGAGACTGTAAACCATTACAGGAACAGAAAGCTTCATCTGTCTCCATGGAATCTCTAGTAGTTTTAAACCACAGGCCTTGAGATTAGCAGCCCAATTCCTAACCACTACTAAATGTTCTTCAGTTTGGAGAAGTATTCCATAAAGGCATACATATTCTCTCCCTTTTCTTGTTTGCAAGCCTGAATCTTTGTCCAACTAACATTTTCAGGTAAAACCCCTTTAGTGCCATTTTTAAACTATTGACTAAAATTTGAAACTCATCGCTTTATCATTTTCCTACAATTCCAGTTTTGGAGATTAAACTTCCTTTAGAGTTCTTTCATTTTGCTTCACTTATCTATGTTTCTGCTTCTTCTGAGCCTCAAAACTTGTATAGCAAGTTAAACAAATCTGAAGTCCTTGGCTTTATGGTGCTATTTAAAATAGTGAATTCATGAAAAAACTTCTGAGGATTTTAATTAGGGTCAGGAAAATCCTGATCTTGGTTCAGACTTACACCAATGATTTACTGTCACTTCTACTGAATTCTAAACTAAACTAAACCAGTTTAGTTTAACTATCAAAGACATTAAAGAAGACAGACACTCAAACTCAAGCAAATCTCTGGAATAAAAAGGCAGTTCAACTGGCAGAGAAACAGGCCAAATCACATTATAAAAATCAGACTTTTCTTCCTTGTTATTTCTTTTCTCTGAGTCTTTTCTCCTCTCTCTAATATGCTTAGGAGTGTTGTCTAATAATGCGACCTGGCATGCTAAAATCTGTTCAGGTGGCTTAGTAATCTATTACTGAACTGAAGCAAGAATACTCACTTGCTATCTCTTGGAGGATTCAAAACACCAAATGAAAAACCTTTCCCACTGCTTTAGACTTATCTTATGTCCTCTTGCATCCAATTTACACTTTAAAAAGAACAATTTAACCAATTACTAAGTTTCCCACTTAGGCCACAAGAGATATTCATTTTCTTTGGTCAAATTATGCCATTTCTCTAAATATTGTACTGAATTTGGTCCAAAATTCTTTGCCATATGGGCAGCTGGCATTGGAGGTAGCTGATTGTCAGTCTTGTGTTTCTTCTGTTTCCTATTCTTAGAAAAAAAAGGGGGAAAAGTTTCAATATAGAGCACTATTTTTCACATTTTCTCTTGGTCGTGGAAGAAATACTAGTCACAAGTGCTATGAGGTTTGGACAGTGTTTTGCTTGAATCAATGTGTACCTTCATTGCATGAAGTTTGCTTGAAGTTGGCAGGCCGCCTAATGCTCTTTGATGCTCTTGTTGAATGCTGGTGACCACCTTAATTGTTTTTACTGGTCCACCTGAACCCCAAATTTTGCGACTTATAGCAACCCAGGACTCATTGAAAATAGAATGATCTCTTTTAATGTCTGAATCTGGACCCAAACTGTAGTTCTCAAAAAGTCACTGTCATCTCAAATGATTAATCCAAAATTCAAAGGATTCTCGTTAATAAAAACAAACTGTTTTTATCAAAGCAATATTCTGAACAAAACCTTAAGAAACTATGAAAAAGAGCAAAGAAAATATGAGCAAAGTTCTTTCTCTGAAAGCACTCACCCAGACAGCGTCCAAGTTATGTGGAGTAAGAATTTGTGGATCCAGGAACGTAGGACCTTGTTTTCTGTCTTCTACTCCACAGCTGCTCCTCGGAAACCCTATACAGGGTCGGAACTGACTAGATGGTACTTAACAACAACAACTCCACAGTTCAAGTCTCCCTGGGATCTACAGGCTTCTTTGCTTCAAAATATCCTGCCGTGACTACATCAGAACCAGGGGAAATTACCACAAAGTTATCATAGTAAAAAAAAGGAAAAATAGGTTTCATTTAGCAAGAAAAACAAAGTTGGGAAAACAGACTGGCATATCATTAGAAACAGTCTCTGTCTGAGTCCAAAGAACATTACAAAACCAACAATACATAAAGGCGGGGGGGGGGGGGGATCGCTAACAATAACTTACTAACATCATTGAATACTCATGATTGTGATTGTTTTTCAATAGATCAAAGACACAAAGTTGCATACACAGTGAGTGGGGTCTTCACAAATCTAAAAGGCTAGGAAAAAGGAGAGAAGATAATTGGTTAACTACACTTTGGTGGCTAATGTTCAACCATTTTAAGAACTGATGATACTGAAGGAAGAAGTCAAGCTTCATTTAAGGTATTGGCAAGAAATAATGCTCCAAGAAATGATGGAATAAAAGCTGAACTCTTGAAACCAACTGACACAGTACTGGAGGCACTCACTCATCTATGACAAGAAGTTTGGAAGACAGTTACCTAGCCAACCTATTGGAAGAGATCCATATTTGTGCCCATTCCAAAGAAAGGTGACCTGAAGGAATTGGAAAGTCATCAAACAATATCATCAATATCACATGCAAATATAAATTTGCTAAAGATAATTTTAAAATGGCTGCAACAGTACATCGACAGGAAACTGCCAGAGGTCTGAACCAGATTCATGTAATTTGGAATGAGGGATATCATTGCTGATGTCAGATGGATGTTGGCTGAAAGCAGAGAATACCAGAAAGATATTTAACAGTGCTTTATTGACTATGCAAAGGCTTTCAACTGTATGGATTATGACAAGCTAAGGACAACATTGTGGAGAATGAGTATTCTGGAACACTTGTGCTCCTGAGGAATCTGTGCATAGACAGAAAATCAGTTGTTCAAACAGAACAAGGGGACATTGAATAATTTAAAATTAGGAAAAGTGTGTGCCAGAGTTGTATTCTGTCTTGAGCAGGGCAGAGGCCAGTGGACCTCATGGCTGAGAGACCATTGAAGAGTGAGCCGTGCTTTTGGTACAGCTGACGTGAGGTACTCTTGACAAGAGAACTCATATGTTCTGTGTTTTTTCTGATCCTGAATTATACTATGTTCATTTCCCTATTATCAGTAAGTTCTGTGTGGTGACTTTAATAAATTATCAAACTCAGTAGAGAAATAAGAATGCTGTGGGATGGTTGGTGTCAGAATAGGATAGCCAGTTGAAGGGAAGAGGCATGTCTGACCTCTGCCTTGTAGAATTCAGCCTTGGACTGATTTTGAGTTTGATTCTCTTTCTCCATTTTGAAACTGGAGAAAATCAGACATGGCCCCTATGACATTTTTGCAACAATTTAAAAGAAAGCCTCACTTTTCACCCAAATAATTATTGTCCATCAGAAATAAGAAAAGTCATGTCAATAAAGTAAATGTCCGTATTCACCTTTTCTTTTAGAATAATTTTCAATGGTTTATTAACATTGGGCAAGGTTAGCAACAAGTCTATTTTGCTTTTGGTTCTACTGAATATCAACTAATATGCATATCTAAAGTATACAAGTTGGGCTGCTAACCTCAAAATCAGCAGTTCGAAACTACCAGCTGTTCTGTGGGAGAAAATTGAGGCTCTCTGCTTCTGTAAAGATTTATAACCTCAGAAACCATATGCAGGGTCGCTATGAGTCAGAACCAACTCTATGGCACATTACCAACTAACCATACACTGCATAGAGAAGCTTACACTATTACCACCTCCTGATGTACGAGTAGGGTGAAGGATGCAAAGATGATGCTAATGTTAAAGTCTCATATTGCTATGCTGTTAAGTGACCCTGTATAGGGTGTCCAAGGAGTGGCTGGTGAGCTTGTACCACTCACCTTGGAATTCAAACTGACTTTTAATCCAGCACATTAACCCACTGCGCCACACTAGGACTACCATCTTGCTATATTACTAAAAATTAAATTAAGATAAACTGAATTTATATTTATTTGTTGTTACATGCCATTGAGTGGGTACCAACCCATAGCGACCCTATGCACAGCAGAACAAAATATGGCTTGATCCAGGGCCAACCTCACTACTATTGCCACGCTTGAGTCCATTGATGCGGCCATTTGGCCAATCCATCTTGTTGGGGGTCTTTCTTTTTTTGTCTGACACTCCACTTTACCAAACATGATATCCTTTTCCAGTGATTGGTCCCTCCTGACAATATGTGCAAAGTATGAGAGACGAAATTTGGTCATCTTAGCCTCTAAGGAGCACTGTGGCTGCACTTCTTCCAAAATGGATCTATTGGTTCTTTTGGCAGCTCATGGCACTTTCAATATTCTCCTCCAACACCATAACTCAAAAGCATCAATTCTTCTAAGGTCTTCCTTATTCACTGGTCAGCTTTGGCATGCATATGAGGTTATTGAAAATACCATGGCTTGTGTCAGGTGCACTTTAGCCCTCAAGCTGACGCCTGCTCTTCAACACTTTAAAACAGTCTTGTGCAGCAGATTTGCCTAATGCAATATGTCATTTGATTTTTTGACTGCTGCTTCCATGAGTGTTGATAGTTGATCCAAGAACAATGAAGTCCTTGACAATGTCAATCTTTTCTCCATTGATAAAAATGTTTATTGGTCCAGTGGTGAGGATTTTTGTTTTCTTTAAATTGAGATGTAATCCATCCTGAAGGCTGTGATCTTTGATCTTCATCAGTAAATTTATTTAGAATATAAATATTCTTAATAATGCATTAAATACATAAATAAGATTTAATGAATTATGTGTAGGAGAAAGACAAGACTTTCTGCTGCTGCAAAAATTTATAGTTTCAGAAACCCTATTCAGGGTCTCTATGAGTTGGACTGACTTGATGGCACTTAATAACAACAATGAATTATATGGTTAAATTGTCTTAGTTTTTTAATGCAAGCTCTTGGTAGTGTGATATGAAAGCTTAAACGTATCCACTTCAGTTACTTAATTTTTATCATTTATTTACAAATCTAGCTAATATAGTTGTTTATGTTCAATATTTGTTTTACAGGCTTTGGAGAAGCTTCAACAATGACTGGCTTTGCTTTGGGAACTGCATTAGGAGCACTACAAATTCAGATCACTGTGAATAGAACTTTAAAAAAGCAAGCTATTTGTCTTTCCTTGTGTGTGTGTGTGTGTGTGTGTGTGTGAGGGGATTTCCTTAAATTGATGATATGGAGACATCAATGTGTGCAAAATGTTAATTGGATAGCTACAATAAGTTATAAACATAAATATTCAAAACTACATTTTAAATATGTATTAGGAAATTATATCATTAGTAATTCCTCCTTGCTTCTCTTACAATGAGATAGAGTTAATGAAGGAGGTATAATTCATCATCTTGTGAAAATAAAGAGGTCCACCCTTCATTTCTGAAATTATGTTCATATAAAAGTAGAATTGACAGAAGATATGTTGCAGAAGATATCTTGGCCCTGTTATTTATTTCCATCTATCCAATTACTTCAATTACTATTCATTGTAATGACACTGACTGCTAACTTTTCTGCTAGCTTCCCTGCCAGCTTAAGTGCGTTCTTGCTTTACTACAGTGAAGTTTGAGTAGCTGGCAGACATCATATGAGGGAACAGATTGGGTGTTAGGGAATAAATTGTGTGCTGGATATATATTTTCTTCTCTAAATTCACTCTCCATCTTTCTACAACCTTTTCTAGCTTTCCCTGTGCTCTGAGATGCTGACCTCTATATAATGCCTCATCATATTTCCTTGAACTCTGAGTTTCAGTTAGGTTTAGTCAACAAGAGGCACTGCATAACAAAGGACAAGAGCAGATTAAAGACTAGAGCATTTTCCTCCCAGTTCTTTTCCTGTGGGTCTGTGCTCAAGAATAACTGCATCCTTCACTATCTTCTTTATTTGTTTAATCTAATTTTTCATTAAGAATTTTGTGAAGATTTACAGATAAGATCATCAGTTGAATATTCAACTTTGTTTTATCTAGATTGCAGTCCCCTCAATGAGAGATCACTAATGCCGCATCCTACCCATGTTTCTTGTTTCCATTCTTACTTCTTTCTCCACCCTTCTGAAATCTGTCTTTAGGTAAATGTTGCCCTTTTGATCTTGAGTGATTGACCATTCTATGGTAGGTATGCACACTTCAGTAGTGTTTTTTACCCCCTCCTATATACCTATTTACTGTTTGGTTGATAATTGAATCATAGAAATGAATTCAATTCCCTACCTGAAGGACCATGGACCACAATCTTGGGCTCCACCAGTTTATCTGACCAGTAAGCCTCATTCTTTTTTTTAATGTTTTTGAGTTTGTTCCATATTTTCTCCCACACTCTCTAGGATCTTCTAATATTTTCAGAGTAGTTGGTAGTGGCAGTCAAGCACCATCTAGTTCTTTTTCTGCCTCAGGGTCATGGAGATTGATATCCAAACAGTCCATTAGTGCCTTGGACTAATTCTTTCCAAGTGTCTTCAGTTTTCATCACTTTTATTTCCTTCAGACACGAAGAGACCAATTATAGCTCCTTACATGTCTGCTCATGAGCTTTTATGATCCCAGTCCTACTCATGAAAGTAGGATGTGGAACATTGTCTTTGTGGACTATGTTGTGCAAATTGAGCATGGACTCCCTGTAGACTATGGTTCTGAGCTTCTGTGCCCAGCAAATAATGATTTCAAGATGTTTAGTAGTGTCTGGTGCTGTAGGTTAATGCACCAGACTGCAAAGCATTTGAACTGCAAGGTCGGCAGTTCAAGCTCACCAGCTGCTCCTCAGAAACCCTATGTTGTTGTTGTCAGGTGCCATTGAGTCGGAACTGGCTCATAATGACCCCATGCACAGCAGAACAAAACAATGTCTGATCCTGGGCCAACCTCACTACTGCTGCCACACTTGACGCCATCAATGATGCCACCTGGCCGATCCGTCTCGTTGGAGGTCTTCCTCTTTTTCTC